TAAATGTTCATTAAAATTAATAACATTTAATAAAAATAAAAACAAAAAAGAAATACCACTTGACCCAGCAATTCCACTACTGGGAATATAACCTAAAGAAACCAGAACTGCCACCCAAGCAGATATATACACACTCGTGTTTATTGCGGCTTTGTTCACAATAGCGAAGAGTTGGAAACAACCTAAGTGCCCATCAACAAACGAATGTATAGAGAATCTCTGGTATATTCTCTGGTATGGGATATTATGCAACACTGAAAAACTAGGAACTCATGAAATATTATACAAAATGAGTGTCCATGATGGACATTTTGCTGAGTGAAATATTTCAGTCACAAAAAGACAAATACTGCATAATGCCACTGTTATAAAACAGGACTGACATGGGGGTTGGGGTGAAACTAAGAAAAAAGGGGATAAATAATGTACATGGCTTTGAAACAGACATAGGCGAAAACTATACAAAATGAATATATGATTAGGTATTATTGTAACGACAAGAGTAAGAATAAGAGCTGCATAGTAAAGTGGACTCAGGGTAGGGGGACTGTATAACAATGAAAGAATTTTTTCCCGAAGGAAAAAAGTGAACTAGGGGACAGGGGAGGCAGGGAGAAAAATGTGCAACAATGAATGAATGGAAATCCAAGTTCTCTACAAATTTTCATTGAATTATCAATTAAAAAAAGACAATAACCCCCATCCCCCTTATTTTAGTGATTAAAAAAAAGATGATTAAATGTATGGGGAAAATCTGCTGTCAGGGACCTCTCCAGAATACTGAAGAGCAACTAAGGTGCACCTGATCCAGGCCTTGGTATTTGCAACTATTTGCTATGCATCAGAGAGGTGGAAAATTACTAGGAATGATGTAGGGAGATTAAATTCCTTTGAGCTGTAGTGCTGGAGAAGAGTATTCAATATACCAAGGACTGCTAGGAGAATAAACAGGTTCATCCTTGAGAGAGTAAAATCAGGATGCTCTTTGGAGGCAAGGGTTTTGAACCTCCATCTCAGACAAGGGTCTCATAGCAAAAGTTTACATAATCCTACAGGGCATCGTAAAAAAAAACAAAAACAAAAAAAAACACAAACAAACCCAAACTGATAACACAATTACAAAATGGGCAAAATACATGTAAAGACTTTTCACAGAGGAAGACATTCAGGCAGGCAACAGATACATGAAGAAACGCTCAAAATCACTGACAATAAGAGAATTGTAAATTAAAACCACAATGAGATACCACCTCACTCCAGTAGCAGTGGCAAAGTTTAGCAAGGCAACAAGCAGTAAATGTTAGAGAAGATGTGGAGAGGTGGGAACTCTCATCCATTGTTGGTGGGACTGTAAATTTGGTACAACCATTATGGAAGGGAGTTTGGTGTTTTCTCAAAAAGTTGAACATATAAACTTCATATGATCTAGCAATTCCACAACTAAGAATATACCCCAAGTAAATTAGAACCAAGAGACAAACAGATCTGTACACTACTATTCATAGCAGCATTATTCACCATTGCAAGAACATGGAAACAGCCCAAATATCTAATCACAAATGAATGGACTGAGAAATTGTGGTACACAATGGGATACTACAAAGTACTCACTCAGGAGCAATGATTTTAAGAAATTCTACATAACTTGCAAGATAGTGGAAAACATTAGGCTGAGTGAGCTAACTTAGTCTCATAAGGACAAACACTGTATAAGACCATTATTACAAAAATAGAAAGATAATTAGTAAAACATATGGGGACTCAAAGGGGGAAAAGGTGGAAGCTGAGGGGTAAGGGGTGTTTGGTGGTACAGTTTGGTGGATGGAGAGAGGGGTGAAGGAAATGGAAATATCCCATGGGGATATGAAAAGACTAATGATGAGCATAGTCCAATGATGATTAATGTTACAAAAACATAATGCATGGCAATGATGGTATGAAACACAATGTGAGTGAAGAATAGTGCAAAGCACAATGCATATGAAGTTTGTAAACAAACTAATAGAAATTTTTAAAAAAATTAAAAAGTATCAGTTGCTTACATTGTGTCCTTCAATTAGGTTTTTACTTTGTGATTATCATATACCTGCTAGTAACATGGAAATTGTTTACTTAACGAATTTGCATTAGCCAATCCATCCCCCTCAACACTACATCATGACAACAATGTCTATAGCTCAGTGAGGCCCAGGAGGAGGGGAGTTGTACTGTCTTTCCATCTAAAACTGCCTAGTATTTGAAGGATTCCCCAAAGAAACAGTGGCTTCTCCATCTTCTTTGTTACTCACCTGCTATTAAGACACCCCACATTATGTACTTAACAGTGGTTTTGTATTTCCTACAAATTCCACAAATTGCATCATATTTCTTCTCCAGATACCTGTAACAACACAAAAACAAAAATATCAACCAAAGAAAATATAAAAATTTGAAATAAACTGACAAACTCAGCTAAAGTTGAGTTTGATGATGTCTCACTTTGAGATATAAAACATGCAAATTTATGAAGTGTATGTCCTCTGGTATAAGGAAAGTGTTCATTTCATCATAGAATCAACTCTGTCTTAGTTTGGATCAGTGTTTATTGGATGAGCATACTCAAGTTCTCAGGGTTTAGAGAGGTACATAAAATATTTTTGGTAAGAGCAAAGTAACCAGACAAAAGTAGACACAAAATACAGGAGAAGGGTTTCTAGTAAGATTCTGAGGACCTCTGTTAGAATTAACCAGTTATTGTTCTTATGTTGTTGTTAGGTGCCACGAGTTGTGCACGACTCATAGCAACCCTCTGAACAAAAGATCTGAACCCCATTCTATCTTGCACCATTTTCACACTTCCTGACACACCAGAGTCCATTGCAGCAGTCACTGTGTCAATCCACCTCGTTTTCCTTTCCTTCGTCGACCCTCCACACTTGTCAGCATCTTTCCTTCTCCAAGAAATAGTACCTCCTCACAACATGTCCAAAGTATGGGAGGTGAAGTATTAAAAAAATTACAAATAGAATAAATTTGGTCATCTCTCCTGGCTCTCTGGACTCTGACCAATTGGTGTATCACAGGATTCTTTAAGGCTGAAAGACTTCACTGGTTGCTTGAAACACAAAAGTAATGTTTTGTGAAGTTGAGGTCTGTTAACCAATGGGTAATGTCTTTCTCTGAAAGTTCTTGAACTGTTGGTATGTTCTTGTGTCCTTCAAAAGCTTTATTACTGAGCCATGGGTTGTATGTGAGCAATGTGTGCATCATCACTTCTCCTGGGAAGAAAAGTGTCCAACATCCCCATAGCAGTAGTTAGGAGAGGCCATAGGGCTGAAATCACACTGACTGTCTCTGTCTGTGATGGGAGACTGATGGTCCCCTCCACACACTTGAACGGAAACTCGCTACCCACATTTCAGTGCCTTGCTCCTTGGTGCCAACTCTGCTGTAGGCTTTCCTTCTCCCATGAGGCTGAGCTGAAGGACCTACTAGTACTAGAAAACAACTCTTGTTCCAAAGAGATGCTTCCCAGCCTCCAGAATCTCCATTTGAAGACCCGCTCCCCTTCCTCTTGAGCAATCATGCTAGGTTTCAGCCACATTTCAAACATTAGAGCCCACCTTGGATAGATGCATTCCTCTGTACTTTTATTTTTGCTTCATTATGAACCCATGACTGATAGCCTGCATGAGAAGTGTATGCAGGCCTCAGAACACTGGGAGGGGACCTTGGACACGGGGGGTGTGCCACAGGCTTCATTTAATGAACATAACAGTGAAAAAGGAAGACAAATTTTATTGTGTCCCACATTCAAATGGGACAACAGCAGTTGTGGTTTGGCAACTATGAGTGAGTTATGATGTCAACATAATGTATGATGACCATCACTGGGGGAAAAAGGGAAATATCAGTGTATCACACATTTTTGTTGTTGTCAGGTGCCATTGAGTCAAATATGATTCATACTACATACTGAACCTATGAATAACAGATCTGAACCCTGCCCTATCCTTTTCTATCCTTATCACCTCCACCACAATACATCCCATTGCTGCAGTCACTGTGTCAGTCCATCTCATTGAGGGTCTTCCTCTCTTTGGCTGACCTTCCAACTTTCCAAGCATGATATCCCTTTCTGATAAATAGCTTCTTCTAGCAACTTGTGCAAAATATGTGAGAAGTTTCACCGTCTTTGTCTTTAAGGAACACTCTGCCAGCACTTTCCCAAGACATGTGTTTGTGTTTTGGGATTTTTGTTTGTTTGGTTTTTTTTGGTTGTCATTGTCTTAGGGCAGTCCATGAGATTTTTCAGTGCTCTTCTCCAACACCACAACTGAAAGACACAAATTATTCTTCTGTCACTTTCATTCATTCCAGCTCACAGAAGTGATTAAAAAGACCATGGCCTGAATCAGGTGCACCTTAGTTTTCAAATTGACATCATTGCTTCTGTGGAATTTAGAAAAAACCCTGACAGCTTATCAAAGCTCACAACCTTCAATATTGTTTAAATCTCAACATCAGAAAGACAAAAATCCTCTCTACTGAACCAATAAGCAACATCATGAAAGATGAAGAAAAGGACTGAAATAATCAATGATTTCATCTTACTTGGATCAACAATCAACACCCCTGGTCATGTGGTCAGTCTCTAATAGTCAGGAGCTCAAGAGATGTATCAAACATAGTAATGACAAGTACTAAGTCATGAAACTTTTCTTGTGTGTATGTTGATAATTAGAAGCACCATTCTAGAAGATACTGAAAACATGAACATGTCAGAATGGCACAGGACTGGGTAAAGCTTTGCTCTGTTGTACAGTGGATTGCTATGAGCTAGAGCTGCTTGGGTGTCATGTAACAACAGCAACAATGTGTTGTCCACTGTGACTGATGCAGTGTTCACAAGCACCAGGACAGAAGGTGGCATCAATAGAGTCCGTCTGACATGTTAAAAATTGCAGCAAATGCATGTAGTCCATTACAGCACTGATTCTGCTTTATGCAGAATAAGATACTCAAATCATTTGGCTATCTAGGCTGATCAATTCCTGACTTCCTGGTGGTTACTCTGGTGCCATTAACACTAAAGGCAATCTAAACAACCCTGATCATCTAAGGGGATTTCTCAGCTTTGCAGACTCAAGAAGGATGGAACTAAGCTCAGGTTTCTGAAGTGGCAGATATTCCAGGTGACAAGTGGATACTTAAAGAAGGATTTAGGAACTGAACCAATACTGTGTGTCATGGTAGAGTACCAGAAAATACTGGATTAGGAATCAGGTTCTGAAATTATAACCTAACTATTGCTGGGTAAACCACTTTCTGAGCTTCATCTTCCCATTCTGAAAAAGAAAAATGATCTTATCTTTCTTCCTTCTAAGATTACATACACTTGAAATATATTATGGACTGAGTTGGAATTGTGTTCTCCCAAAATAGATATGAAGTTGTTGTTGTTGTTGTTATGTGCCGTCGAGTCACTTGTGACTCATAGTGACCTTATGTACAACAGCCCTAAACTCTGCTCTGTCTTGTGCCATTCGCACCGTCTCTGACACACCCATCCCAATTACCCCAATCACTGAATCAATCCACCTCATAGGGGCCTTCCCCTTCTGTGCTGTCCTTCCACCCTCCCAAGCATGATGGCCCTCTCCAAGGACCTGTCTCCCTCCTTGCAACATGTCCAAAGAATGTTTGACGGAGCCTTAGAATCCTTGCCTCCAAGGAGCAGCCCAGTTTGACCCTTTCCAGGATGAATCTGTTTTTCCTCCAGCAGTCCATTGTACCCTCAATACTCTTCTCCAGCACCAAAGCTCAAAGGCATCAATTCTCCTTCTATCCTCCTTAGTCACTGTCCAACTCTCTGTGATAGTAAAGACCATGGCCTATATCAGACGCACCTTGGTCTCCAAAGAGACACCATTGCTCTTCAGTACTTTGGAGAGGTCCCTAACAGCAGACTTTCCCATGGCAATACGTCTTCTAATTTCCTGGTTGCTGGTGCCAAGAGTGTTGACAGTGGAGCCAAGCAAACTAAAGCTGTGAACAATCCCAATCTCTTCACTATCCATCCTGATGCTGCCAGTTGGCCCAGTGGTGAGAATCTTTGTCTTCTTGACATTGAGCCTCAGTCCATATTGGAGGCTGCAGTCCTTGACCCTCTGCAGCAAGCGCTTCAGGTCCTCCTCAGTTTCAGCAAGCAGGGTTGTATCATCTGCATATTGCAGATTGTTGATAGAACGTCCACCAATCTTGACCCCACATTTCACCTCACAGAGCCCAGCCTCTCGGATAATCTGTTCTGCATACAGGTTGAAAAGGTATGGAGACAGAACACATTCCTGGCATATGCCCTTCCCAATTTTGAACCATGCAGTGTTTCCTTGCTCTGTTCTGACGACTGCCTCTTGGTCCAAGTATAGGTTTCTCATTAGCACGATCAAGTGTTCTGGGATTCCCATTCTTCTTCTTACTCTTATACCTGTAACTACAGCCCTATTTGGAAATAGGGGTTTCTTTTTGTTCTGTTAATGAGGTCAGAGAGTGTAGGATGGACTCTAAATGTTATCCTTTCAGATTAATTTTCTCTTCAAGTTTATAACTCACAGGAGGGGAGGTTGCCCAGATTTTTGCAGTGGAGCTCCGAGTGGTTTTGAACCAGAAGAGACAGTTAGTCTTTGGGTTTGCAATGTGACTCCCTATAGACAATGTCACTCAAAGATTAATGTTTCTGAAAAGAGCAGAATATGTACATTGCACACACTTAGGCTTATGAGGACAAATACTACATAAGACCATCATTGTAAAAACAGGAGGATAACCAATAGAATGTGTATAGATATCCAAAGAGAGAAAGGGAGGGGGGCAAGAGGCCTGAGGGTGGGAAGAGGAGGAAACCATAGAGTCACAGGGTTTGGTGAGAGAAGGGAAAGGTGCGAAGTTATTAGGAAAGAGACAGTGGGAATCTGAAAAAAAAACAAACAAAAAACAGGGCAATAGTGAGCGTATATCAATGGTGATTAATTTTATAAGACACAATGTATGACAATGATCCTAAGAAACACAATGTGAATGGGGGAAAAAAGAAAATAAAATAAAATTACAACAGAAAGCTTTTCTTTTCTCTTCTCTTCTTTTCTTTTTTCTCTTATCTTTTCTTTTTTTTCTTTCTTCTTTTTTACAAACTGAAGTATGCCTGGAGCAACCAACCACAAGGAAGGATTTTCCTGGAGCTGTTGCCGATCCAGACTTCTAATCTCCCAAACTGTGAGACAATAAATCACTTTTTTTTTTAACAACAGCCCTAGGTGACTATGATAGAGAATGATACAGCTTTCATTTGTTGAGAATTTGTTGAGATTTAAAATGAATTGAGTTTTAAGAAACCAGTTGCATATTGACTGATGCTGAAAAGATGAATTCATTAAGAAGATGAATGAATGAACTACTTCTATGTGAACTGAAACAATTAGTAATTTACACCTTGATTGTCCTGAGTGAATTAAAATCTGGTATATTGGGTGTCCAGAGCATTATCAGTTTGGCTCCACCACACTGATTATCCTAGGGTACCGTTAATTTTTCTGAAGATGGGTAGGTAATGAGGAGGGAGACTGGCAGTGGAGATAATCACTAATGAGTCCAAATTAATGCAAAAAATTAGGCAAAAAGAAAGCAAAGTTGCAAAACATATTTCTCCAGTTTATAAAGCATACCCTTTTGGAGGCATATCTTCACTGTCTTCGATGTTTTCTGCATCCTTTGGAAAATTCTGCTCAGTGCTGGCACATTCTTCCCTCTGAAAATAAACATTGGAGCAGAGACAGAAAAAATGAAATTCTGGACAAACAGACTCCAATCTCCTTTGCTCAGAGTACTTGCAAAGATATTGGGTTATTAGGAAAGAAATTGTTTCTATGATAGCCCACACAGATATTTTCCCTTTTAGAAACTACAAAAATCCAAGATTACAAATATCTCCTCCCATTCCTTTCAAAGAAGCCATTGGCTTTTTCTCCTTTTCCTTGGGAATCAGTTCATATTCCTGCTTCCCACCTCCCTTACTACTGTAATCATTCATCCCTCACTCTATTTTTAGACAAGTGCTAACTAAAGTCAATAGCAGGAGACACATAAATCTGTCTTTATTCTCAGTCAGCACCAGTTTTGAAGGATGAGACCAGAGCTGGCTTTGCTTGCTGGCTGTACACAGTAGAAGTGCCCCTTCAAAGGAAGCTTAGAACCTTGAGGGCCTGTTAAACCTCCCTTGAATCCTTAGGTCTTTCTATTAGTTGGGCTAAGAGGAAAAGTATGGTTCCTTTGTTTTGCTAGTCATGTTGTTGTGTGTCATCGAGTTGGAACCCACACATAGTTGACTTTCCAGTGGGTTTTCAGAGTCAGTAATTGCACAAAAGGAGATTGCCCATCTGTCTCCCATGGAGTAGCTGGTGGATTCGAATCATGTACCTTTGGGACTGCAGTGCAGATTCTTACTGCTAGGCCACAAGAACTCCCCAAAATCTAATTACTTGAGTAAAGCATATACATGGATAATTTTTATGATTTCTAAAAAGGTGGCTATGTGAATGATTTACTCATATTTAGCAGAAGTCTTCCTTCAAATGAAATCCTGTAACATCCACACATTAAAGAGACAAAAGTGGTTTTGTGGGAATTGGGGTGGAAAGGTGGCACAGTGTCTCCTTGGTTTGACTGTGGCCTCAGGTGCCAGTAAGGGTTACCAGGCCTTGAGAAAGTGCTTGAGAACATTTCAGAACCACATTGCAAAGCCTTCTCGTCTGGCACATTCCTCTTCACAATCAGATGCTTTTAAAAGCCTACACTTTCTGTCTTGCAATGAGCTTGGAATCTGTCACAGCAAGGACAGAAACATAAGCCCAAAATCTTTTTATTTAGTCATGTGTCTTTTCTTCATAACTTTTGTTTACAAACTCTAACTGTCAAGTACTCCATTGCTCTGTGCTTTGTGTGCTCTGTGGGTCAGAGTCAGGTGTGTGCTGCGGTGACACCCATGTTGCCCAAGGTACCCAGTCTAGTGTCCTACCTGTTTGGTGTTGATGTGCTCTCCATTTTGCATGACTCTAATCCTTAGTGAGTCATTTCTTGATGTGTTTTGATTTTCAATGAAGTCTTTCTCTTTCTAAGCAAAAAGAAAAGATTACAAAAATAAAATGTCAGAGCAAAGAGAACAAAAATCCTTGCTTATTCAACTGTGTGATGGAGAGAAACCTGCTGAGGGATGAGCGTGCAGAGAGGAGTTTCTGTGTCATTTAAGACAAGTATTAAGGACTTTTTGTACTTAGGAGGACATTCAGCTAATCTGTCAACTGTAGGTTTCTAGTCTCTAGCACAGCACACAGGCTTCCCGTGACAGGATTCAGCTTATAAAACAAACTAGAGTAAACCATGGGCTGAGTAACTGCATTCTTAGCATCACATTTATTACATGTTAAAGTGTGTTCTTTTCATTTAAAAGAGGTTCTGGTTGTGACAAGCAGAATAAAACACTCCTTTTGTGGCACCATCTGGAGCTTACATTAAGGACCTGAGCTTTTTCCTACCTTCTGTCTAAGAAGGGCTTGCAGGTTGCTGAGAAGCTGAAGAGATTTCCACAGCACTTCCAGACCAATATGGACTAGGACATAAAGCCTGAAGAAACCTGAAGCCCACCCTGGGAACCCTATTCAAGGGGTTAATATGAATTGAGGGCCTCTTGACAACACACAACAACAAAACATGAACAAAGCAACTGATAAGTGGTGTTAGAAAAGCCCCTATCCCTTTTGAGAAAATGTCCCGTTGTTGTTGTTGTTGCTGTTAGGTGTCATCAAGTTCAGTACAACTCAGGAATACCATGAACAGCAGATCTGAAACCTGTTATAACCTGTGCCATTCTCACTATCTATGGCACACTTGAGCTCATTGCTGCAAACACTTTGTCAATCCATCTCACTGTGGGTCTTCCTTTCTTTGGCTGACCCTCTACCTTTCTAAGAGGATGTTCCTCTCCAAGGAGTGATCCCACCTAATAGTATGCCCAAAGTGCATGCGATGAAGTTTTGTGATCTTTGCCTCCAAGAAGCACTCTGGCTGCTCTTTCTCCAAGACATCAACATAACTTTATCTCTCTCTCTCTCAATTTTCAGTTATTTACTCATTGTGAATACCTTTATATTGGTTAGCTTATAAAGTTCGTATGCATTGTGTTTCACACTATTATTCTTTATTCACATTGTGTTTCATACAATCATCCCATGCATTATGACATTTTTGTTTGTCTTTGTTAAATTTTTATTTTATACTGGTTTATTTACAAAGTTCATATACATTGTTATTCACATTGGATTTTTCCCATTTTCTTCACCCTCCCCTCCCTCCACCCATCAAATTGTATAACCCGACCCTATGTTTAATGTCATGCCCCTGCCATCCTCACCCCTCTGTTCCCACCCTGCCCACTCTTGGATCCTCATACTCATTCTTCAATAATGGTCATATGCAGTATTTGTCCTTATGAGACTGAGCTAGCTTGCTTAACATAATGTTCTCCAGTCCCTCCCAAATTAGGTAGTAATTTACAAAATCATTGCTATTATCTGCTGTGAAGTGTTTCATTGTTGAATGTACCATAATTTCCCAATCCATTCGACTGTGGTTGGACATTTAGGCTGTTGGTGTACAAGTCTCCATTGGGCCTCAGTTCTCATTCTCTTGGGGTATTCCAAGCAGTAGAAAAGCTGCGTCATATGGAATTCCTATATACAGCTTTTTGAGGAAATGTCAAACTTCCTTACAGAGTGGTTGTACCATTTTACAATTTCACCAACAATGTATAAGAATTTCTATCTTGCCACATCCTCTGCAACATTTGTTACTCGCTGTCCTGCTAAACTTTGCCACTGCTACTGGAGCGAGATGGTATCTCATTGTGATTTTTATTTACATCTTTTATTGCCATTTTATTTACATCTTTTATTGCCAGTATTTGGAGCATTTCTTCATGTATCTGTTGGCCATCTGAATAACTTCCTCTGTGAAAAGTGTTTCCATGTCTTTTGTGCATTTTCTAATTGTGTTAACTGTCTTTTTCACGGGGAGGCCCTATAGGATTCTGTAAACTTTTGATATGAGACCCTTGTCTGAAATGGTATTGCCAAATGTTTTTTCCCCACTCAGTAGGTTTTCTTTTCACCCTGTTGGAAAGTGTTTTTGATGCACACACGGATTTAATCTTTAGATGTTCCCATTCATCAATTTTATCCTCTCCAGATTGCATTTCTGGCTGTATTTGGCAGTTTCTTTATACCATAGACTAGGCCTTCTAAGCTTGATCTATTTATCTCAGATGAACTTTATAGTTTTGGACTTTACTCCTAGGTCTCTGATCCACCTTGAGTTGTTTTTTGTGCATGGTGTGAGATAATGGATCCTGTTGTACCTTTCTGCAGGTAGCAGTCCAGTTTTGTCAGAACCTTTGTTGAAGAGATTGTCATTCCCCTATTTGATAGGTTTTATTTTCTTGTAGAATATCAGTTGACCATAGGTAGCTGGGTCTATTTCTGGATTCTCAATTCTCCCATGCATTATGTTTTATAAAATTAATCACCATTGGAACTTGCCCATCGTTACTCTGTCTTTTGAGGGCCCCACTAGATCCTTCCCATTTCCTTCACTGTCTCCCTCCACCCACTTAACTGTGCAACCCTGTGGTTTTGCCCCTACCCATCTTTCTTTCTTTTCTCCTACCCCATCCCCCCATGGGTATCCATACCATGTTTCCCTAGTATCTTTCTATTTTTACAATAATTGTCTTATGCAGTATTTGTTCTTATGAGACTGTGTTAGTTCACTCAGTATAATACTCTCTAGTCTCTCCTTTGTTATATAGGACTTTTTTTTAAATCATTGCTCTTGAGTGTTGCATAGCATTCCATCAGGTGAATGTACCACATTTTTTTAATCCCTTCTGTTGTGATTGGACATCTGGGCTATTTTCATGTTCTTGTGAGGGTTAATAATGCTACTATACACATTAGTGTACAGATCTCCATTCATGTCTCAGTTCTAAATTCCTTGGGATTTATTCCTAGTAGTGGAGTAGCAGGGGTCATACAGAATTTCTTTGTTCAACTCTTTGAGGAAATGCCAAACTGCCTTCCTGAGTGGCTGTACCATTTTACATCCCACCAACAGTATATGAGAGTTCCCACCTCTCCACAACCTCCCAAACATTTGTTGCTTCCTGTCCTACTAAACTTTGCCACTGCTACTGGAGTGAGAGGGTATCTCATTGTAGTTTTGATTTGCATCTCTATTATTGCCAGTGACTTTGAACATTTCTTTAAGTGCCTGTTGGTCATATGAATGTCTTCTTTTGTGAAAAATCTTTCCATGTCTTTTGCCATTTTGTAATTAGATTATCAGTCTTTTTCTTCCAGAGGCCAATAGTATTCTGCAAACTTTTGTTATGAAACCCTTGCCTGAGATGGTATTGTCAAATTTTTTTTCCCCAGTCAGGAGGTTTTCTTTTCATCCAATTTGAAAAAAGTTTTTGATGATGACATGGATTTAATCTCTTGAAAGTCCCATTCATCAATTTTATCCTCTCCAGATTTCACTTCTGGTGGTATTTGTCATTGTTGTCAATCTCTTTATTCTATAGATTATGCCTTTTAAGCTTGGTCTCAGTTTGTCTCTTATGATCTTTATGGTTTTAGGCCCTAACCCTAGATCTCTGATCCACCTTGAGTTGATTTTTGTGTATGGTATGACATATTGATCCAGTTTCAGCTTCCTGCAGGTAGCAGTCCAGTTTTGCTAGCATTGTTTGTTGAAGAGATTGTCATTTCCCCATTTGATAGGTTTTATTTCCTTATCTAATATTAGTTGACCATAGATAGAGAGGTTCATCTCTGAGTTCTCAACTCTGTTCCATTGTTCTATGTGCCTGTCATTGTACCAGTACCATGATGTTTTGGTTACCACTGCATTGAGGTCAGGAAGTGCTATGCCTCCCACTTCATTTCTCTTTTTCAGAAGTGCTTTGCTTATTCTAGGTCTCTTTCTTCTCCAGATAAACTTGACAATTTCCCTTTTCATCTCCTTAAAAAAGAAATTTTTTGTCAGTATTGGGATTGCCCAAGCCATTTCTTTAATGGATCACAGATATTTTTTAAGGTTGGACTAAGAGTTTCACTGCCAATCCAAAGGCAAGTGGTTCAAACCCACTAGTTCCTCTGTAGGAGAAAGATGGGCACTCTCTTCCTGTGTGATTTACAGCCTCAGAAACCTGCTGGAGTGTCAGCTATGAGTTAGTTCTGACTTGTTGGCAATTAGTTGTACTGTACTAGTGATAACAGTGTATTGTATGTGTGTTTATGTATCTCATTGTTGTTGAGCCAATTAAGCCTCATGGTAACCCTCCATCAAATTCCTGAGGTCGTAAATCTTACAGCTCAATACACAATCCAATTTACCATCAGGACACACACACACACACACACACACACACACACATTTTTTTTCAGACCAGGAACACATTATTCATTATAATGTGATTAACTGACACCTACTCATTGGATGTGCTAATTACTTAATGCCATCCAATCCACTCTGACTTCATTGGGTTTTTGAGCCTGTGAACTGCTTGGGAGATTCCTTCCTGAGGAGCCATTGGTAGGCTCACACCACCAGAGAGGCACAACGAGTGGCTAACAGTGAAACTCTCAGTGGACTATGCTGCCAGGGTCTCTATCTAGCTGCATAGCTATCCAACTATATATGATGCACACATACATATTCCCTGGGGCACAGTGGCTAAGGGTTTGACTGTTAACAGCTCGAATTCACCAGCTGGTCTGTGGGAGAAGGAAGCAACAGTCTGCTTCTGTAAAGACTGCCTTGGAAACCTTATGGGCAGTTCTAAATCCCAGCTCTGTGGGGTTGGTATAAGATCATTCTAATTCTGAACTGGTTGATATATACTTAGGGATTCACTTTACTGTTTTAATATTTTCAAGGATGCTGAATTTTCCATTAATGTGAAGTTAAATATACAATTTAGCATGAGTTGTCAGAAAAGCTGGGGTATACGGCTTAGTGGAGGGAGCTCTTTGTGGCCTAGGGGGTAAGATGATGCAC